ACTTAAGAAGCATAAGAAATAAACATGCAAGACCCTTCCATCGGGATACATTTAGGGTAAAAACAAATTATAAGGGTAAACGGAACTCCAAAATGCTGATGGATTCTAATGCACTCTAAATAAATGTGGTAGGTAACTCTAAATAAAGGTGGACACAAAAATTTAGCGATATTTGTTTTTCCTAAAATAACTTTAACGGATTATTCTCTAATAAGACACTAACTGTAATGGATTATTCATGTAAAACAGGTTCTTTTTTAGTGCAAAATATTGGTTATTCAAATGAAAAGCCTAATAGAAACATTTAGTAAAAAAAAATTACGTCGTAAAAATATCTTAATATGTCATATTTGAATTCTGTGTAACAAGCCACATTTAAGTTACGCTCACTTTTTTTCATTCCTGCTGTCAGGAATATTTTTTCCCAGTGCAATATTATTTTTACGAGCATTTAATTGTAATAGTATGAATATTTTCTCTTATTTTCTTTTTATAAGCACTAAATTAATGCATCTTTAAATTAGCGCTAAAATTACTTATATTCTAGCATAGCTACACCAAAATCTGCTTCACAACCTTAATTTCTAGATCACTGTTAGTACAATTTCTGCCTTACATTTTACTCAGAACAAAACAACATTTTATACTGTTATATCAATGATATATAGAGAATCTTTACGTAAAGCGAATAAGCTAGAGAAGAACTTAATGTAAGCCACGCAGAGCATAAGCATGGTTTCTAAGGTAATCATATTGGCACGTTTCTGAAGAATAAGTTTCAAATAGCCGAGTAATTGCTACTTAAACCAAAGTCGTAAATGCTCAGATAAGTCACTCAGCCATCTCATACAAAATAGCCAATCACTAGCGATCATTTTAGTATTACATGGAAAAAACGATCATGGAAAAAAGAAGTATATTTTCCCTTATATATGAAGAGACTACTAACCAAGAATTCCCACTGAAGTTACTGAGCTCGATGCTTGTTAGTTGAGCACGTATGATCGACAGCTTTGTGTAGAAGAGAAAAAAAAATTGCACTTCTTTCTTTTTACGCTAAAGCAAAGAAATTGTTAGAAAGAATGCAGAAAAAATTTTGGAAACAATTGTTTACCCGAGATAGATGGATGTGTGATAGTGTTCTTAAAATTTCTTTATCCAATAACACCAGAGGGGCGACCTACATTAATCACTAAAACGGAAGAAAAGGGAAATACACTTAAAATCAAAACCTTGCATGGAAATCGAACCCAAACTCTTGGTTCCAGGCTATCATTTAGCTTCGATTAACTACTTTTATCATTCAAGGCAAATATCAATAAATATTTTAATAGAGTGTAGAGATTTAAATTTATTTTAAATAACCAATTTTATTTAATTTGCTTTTCTTTCCTGTAAGCTTTCATTCTCCTAATTGTCTGTGCCATAATATTTAAATTTTCGTAGCGCGCTTGAAGGAATGCAAATTCTACCTTGACTGGGACTATTCAATTATGGCAAAGCACACGAGGGCTATCTGCCTAAAGGGAGGGATGCCTTCGTGAGACATCTAAGGGAACCGGCTCGACACGTTCCCATGGGAAAACAACGAAAAACGCCCATGCAGCCAGCCCGTTCGCGGGATTCGAACCTCGGACCAAACTACCAGGGTTCAGCATCTTTACCGTTCGGCCGCTGGTGGGCTGCAAATTCTACCTTGAAGAAAGAGTTTAAAAACCGATGTTCAGTGGGAAAGAAAGAGAGTTAGACTATTGCTGTCTGCTCTGTCGCTTAAGCGTCTGCTTGACAGAATTATTGCTGGTTCGCGTGGTTTAACTGCATTTTGTTGCTGCCAATAGTTTTCAACGGGGGGGGGTTAAGAAACAGGAATTATTCTGAGTCCTATAGTTTAGTTCAAAGACTAGTAAATATCTTAAATCTTTAGTTAGTTCTTTGATTTCAGTTACTGCCCAAGCAGAGGTGTAGTTTGTTAGCGTCGAGCTGACACATTCTTAAGCTTAAAGAGTTAAAATAAAGGGTATTTTTAACCCTTCTTCTGTGCAGTTACTACTCTTACAGTTTTCACACAGGAGTTATCCAAGTGGACTCTACAACAGATACAACACATTTGTTTGTTAGTTGAATTTTCCTAACAGCGTGCAATGTGAATTCATACGTGATGCATAAATCATAAATAAACTAGCGAAGACATGTCGGTACTGTATTGACAGCTTTAGGGACAACTAGATAATATAAATACCATTTCACCAGAATGTACAACTAGATAATATAAATACCATTTCACCAGAATGTAAGAGATTTATCTATATCAATTATCAGTTAAGAAATTAACATTCTTTTAATTTAAATTTAAAACAATTTTTAAATGTTTAATGTTCAATACAGCATTCTGATAATAAATTAGATCTCATTTCTCTTTTTCCTTTAGGAGAGCGTATTAATCCCCAACAGTAAAATATTTTAATGAACATGCATTAAAAATGAAATAAATGACCTTCACATTTTACAAATAAGCATTTAAGTTGACCCATACTTTGTGTCATTTGAAGCTACGAAGCAAATTTTCTTATTTTGAAAGGATTTGAATTATTTATTCAATTACTTTCTTAAACCGAGTTCTAATTGCTTTCTGTAATACTTTTCTAATGGAAGGTATTAATGCAGCTTACCATCGCGATAAGATCTTCCCAGATTACGGTGATATTTGTTCAATTTCCTAACTCATACGGAGAGAATTAGCGGAAAACTAAAAAATTGTTGAGAAGTTTTATCGTTATTTTATAGGATTAAATAAGAAAAATATGCAATTATCATCTAATTTCTAAATCCTCTTAAACAGTGCTTTTAATTTGTATTTTATGCCCATTAAATGCATTTTAATAGATTGTCTTTATTTTATGAATTTAAGAGCTACAAAATAGTATCAGCAATATAAAAGATAATTCAAATTGATAAGAAATAAAATTCAAATATTTTGGTGATATTTAATTCTAAAGCATTTTAAAACACGGGCTTAATTTTATTTGCATATTAAGCAGTAATTATTTTTTCATACCTGTATGTATGTTCGACTAAAAATTAAAAATTTTCTTTTGTTTCTTTATTTCGTAAAGTCCATACGATTACATGTTTATTGTGCACAGGTTCGTAACCAAACATGTGTTTTATAAGTAACTTGAGTTTTTAAAGTTATATAGTTAATAAATTAATTTTTATTAACTTATATATATTTATAGAGTAGTTTGGTGATGTAAACGCTTTTATTTACATTGAAACACACAAAAATATTTAAGTCTAGCGTGATCAGTATTAAACATTATAGTATTAGAAAAAATATAAACTTGTGCTTACGCATGAACTTTCTATACATATTTTCTGACTTTTTTCCTATAATTTTTCTCCAAAATAAGAATAAGAAAGGATTTTCCAAAAAGGAACAGCACTTAGCTGCATTAACCCAGATGAATAAATCAGCCGAATAACCTTCAGACACTTCATCCTAACTTGTATCACTTTTCAGTAGTAATCATTGACAACGTACATTAACTCAGCTGATCTAAAGTTACTCCATATTAATTCCGAAAGCAATTTTTCAACAGATAAAAGAGAAGAAGTTGACGCTTGGCAAAGCATACAAAACTAAAAGTAAATCGAAAGAACTATTTTAAAGTTTATATCCACTGTGTAATAATACAGTTATGATCGATGTACCCAATCCACGCCCTATTTTGAGTTATATCAATCAAACTGCAGTATTTATACGATAAAAACTAAATAAGGCAAAAATGCAGTTTCAGTGTATTTATCATATAATCCGCTTCACTTTTAAAGTGATATTTTATTATGCATAGCCTACAGAGTTCTAAGCATAATTCTGTTTATTTGCAACATCCGTTTTTACTGTTAGTGAGAAGAATATGCATATAAATTTTTGATTCAAGTACCGAATTCAATAAAAGAAAATCTGAAATTTTCAGACTACATTACGCCGAAAGGGGCGTTTTTCTAGCGTTTAGCTTGTTACATTTATTTATATTTCCGTACAGTGTTTCCATTGCTCACTTTGAAATTGTTGAGTTTGCTCATCAAAAATTCGTTAAAGATTTACAAAATATGAAATAGATAATAAAAATTTTTGATACACAATCCCGTGTGCTGGAGGTAAGATTTTTTTTGTACAGTGTCGCCATTGCTCGCTTTGAAATCTTTCAGTTTGTTAATCAAAGTTCTTTAATGTTTGACAAAATATGAAATAGATAATAAAACAAATTCCATATTCCAAAGTTCGGTCTCTAGATGCCCATATCCGAATCGAGGACTACGTACTTGAAAATTTGATGTTTCTAGGTACCATTGTTTTATCACAATACGAGAAATATACAATATTTTATGCAGATTCTTCATTATTTAATCTCTTTAAATATAATACAGGGCTCTAATATTTGGTAGCAACACTTGGAAAAGTGAGCCGATATTTATAGTGAATCAATGCAAATTGCCAAAACGAAATTAATAGCTCTTCTGAGCTACTGCTCCTTTAGTTATTCCGAATAAATTGCCGCTTTGGAATAATAGTGAAATATAATATATAAGTACACTAATCAAGAACGTACTTAAACGTACCTTTTACGAGGACATGGAAATGCTATATATGATTAAGTATTTGTGTGGCCCAGAAGGGATAGTGACCTTAACTGCCATACCGAGTGGCCCATTTCGAATCCTGGAGAATTTATGGATGTTTGCATAGTCTCTTTGCTTCATGGGTGCACTTTAAATATATGGCGAGCCAAAAGCTTTATCGTGTGGTTTGGTGGTAGGGCACAGGAAAGAGAGATCCTCGGACCCTTCCCCTGGGTTGCTCTTCCCAAAACTGAGAGGGAAAGTAGAAGTACAACCTCTTTCAGCTTCTGACAGCCATTCATGCATGAAATATGGACTCCAAAATAACAGCAGCATTACATATTTGCAGATAGAATGTAATAATTTCTTGCATTTACCTGTGGATACCTTCCAACGAACGTGAGGCAGAGGGACACCATCAGCTTGGCAGTCAATCTTCGCTGGACGTCCTGCAACTGCTGATATGTCTGTGGGCTGAATAATCCATCGAGGAGGAACTGCAAGATGAGAGGAAGAAAGTTTTAATATTTTCAGAAAATGAAAGCAAAAATATTTGCTGAAGGATCCATCGAAAGTTCTGTTAAAATGGCTATCGATTAAAATCAAAAGTTATTCAGTTAGAACAAGTTAATATTTTCAGAAAATGAAGCAAAAATATTTGCTGAAGGATCCATCGAAAGTTATGTTAAAATGGATATCGATTAAAATCAAAAGTTATTCAGTTAAAACAAATTGATGCTAATATTTGCAAACAGTATGGTTTTATGTATAATATTGATTTTAGTAATGGTAAATCCAGATGCAGTGAATTTCGATGTAAAAGCAATGTGTTTTTCTTCAAGATAAAAATTGTATCTAAGTGCATTACTGAGAACTTATAAATATAGTAAGTACAACAGAACAAGAAGCAGCTATAGTAGTGAGGAAGATAAATATAAATTTGATATGCATAAGAAATATTTTTCCGTACACCTTTCTTCACAGTCACTATAAAAGCATTTTATGAGAGGCAGGGAAAAGAAAAAGAGAAATTCTTTCTGTCTTCTAAAGTTTCGAACAGAGAATTTTATTTCACACGGTTTACTTTTACTCACGAACTCAAAAATAAAACGGCGGTTATAATTTTAGCAAAGAATTGCCTCCCTTTTGTAAGTAAAAAAGTTAACAAGTAATTTTTTCTTATCTATATGCATAATATTATTATATTAAAATATTCTTAAAATTAAGTGTGGTGTTACTAATTCAGAGTCAAACAACAAAAATCAGCGTTATATTTACAAAATTTTCAACAGGACTAGTTCGATGGTTTTACCGAACCACCATCTTCAGCTGCAAAACCGCAAATGAATGATTTCATTGCAAAATTTATTTCCCACTTTACTAATTTTTGAATTCGAATTTGTGAGCTTCTATTGAACACGTTTTTTTTTTTTTTTTTTTTTTTTTTTTACATTATACTTACAAAATATTATAAATTTTTTCTCAAAATACTTATATTTATAATATGGCATTCTATAAAGTAATATATGCGCTAAGTAGTCTGGACGTAATCTATGAAATATATGAATTCTTAATTAAGCTGTGAAATATATTAAATCTTTAAAACATATTTAACTGTCTCAGTATTAGCAAAATAAAATTAATTTTAAGCTGTTTTAAGCTGCATAAATTATGAATCATCGCTGAAGGATTCGCTCAGCTATGTTTTAGGCACAATACTTGCAGTCAGAAGCGAGAATTTATACCTTTAAAAAATTTTTAATTTTTAATCATTTCCCTCCCCCTCTTTCTAAACGACTTTTTTTAATCTGCCATAGTATATGCAAAATGGCTCCTATTTATAAAGGATTAGAAATAGAAATGTTTTTTTTTTTTTTTCTGGCTGAAGGAGAAGGGATTTTAAACAAAAGCTTAAATACAAGCTGTATCTAGTACTCACAGATCATCGATAATGCCGCCATATAAATCACGTTTTAATAATAGGGTAATTTAAAGCATGCATTTTTAAGTTTTGATGAATTTTTTCTAATTATTTTAAGAGCACAAGTCATGAAATATTTTTTGATATCATCTTACATTTTTATGCCTTTGCAAAACTTTGAGGGATTTTATTATTTTAATGCTTCTAATTAAAACTGAAAACGGAAAAATATTATGTTGTATTCTTCAGTTTTTTTTTAATTTACAGTAAATGATAGTCACAATCAGATGAAAGTGTGGTGATTAGAATTGGATTAAAATGACAAATTAATTAAAAGCTTAAAATGACAAATTAATGCTAAGAAAAAAAAATAATAAAAGTGTTTAATTAGTTTGTTTAGTTAAAATAAGGCACATGATAGTCAGATCATTCCTATCTTATTATGTTCCTTATTTTCATTTCATTAAAGTGTATACAATGCATTTTCAACAAGCATGAATTCCTACTGAAGATAACATAAGTCAGGAGTCCTAGATAATTTTTTTATAAATAGATACAGCAAAATGCACAATGGCATGGACACCGTTGTTATTATATTTTTCAAACAATTTATAGTTGAAACGTGAGAGTAGCTGGTGCCCAATTTTTATCAAATCACAGAACACGTATAAGAAGTACCATTTTGGTTTATGTTATTGGTATACAGTAAAGCGTACGAGGGATACCTGCCTAAGGGAGGCAGATGCATTCCTGTGGGATTTTTCTAAAGAAAACTGATTAGTATTCATGTTACACCTGAAAGAAAAACCAGTCTATTGACCTAGAATCGAACCCTGAGCGAACTACCAAAATTTAACGACTTTAACTACTCAGATAGTAATGCTATTTTAAATTAAGAGTATGCCACCAAGATGACATGTGTCCTAGGCTGAGGTATGCAGACTTGAATATGAAAATATTTACTTATGCAACGATAAGCCTAAATTATAATCAATGTATTTCCACCATTAAGCAATTCTTTTTAATTTTTTTTTTTAAATAAAAGCCCAGTTACTAATATTCCTTTTTATGTGCAAATCGTTCTGAGTATAATACCTAACACATACTTTATAATTACTTTGTTAGCATTAGTATTTTCAAATTAAACTGAAAATTCCATCGCCCATAGAAAGAGGAATACATAAATTCAAAATCTGCACTTTTAGGGATTATCATTTATATGCCTAGCATGTAACACTACACATGAAGAAAGTTTATCTGAAAACATATATTACTGTAAGCTTTATTCTCTGATAAGCATAAATTTGTTTACCGTATTTCGTTCAATATATTGTATGCCATCAAAGTTTATTTCATTTATACATAAAATAATGTGTTAGTTTAAACAAATAGAATCCTTTAGTAATAGTCAAAATAATATAATAATTTATATTTGTATGGAAAGGTGGATGCCTAGAGCACGCACGGCCAGATTCTAGTTCGTTCTTTAAACTTAAGAAGGAGTCTTGCATCGCTTAGTGCGTGTTGCGTATTAACAAACAATAGTATTACTTAAGTATTTTTTTTTCAATGGCGGGCACTTGCCTATAACGGCATTGACCACTTCTAATGCTAGAAGTGGTGGCTATTTTATTGCGGAGGCACCTAACAGGCAGCCACGTTACCTCCTATGAAGAGACAGACAATTTTACATCCATGCCTTCTCCGGGATTCAAAACCGTCCCCCAATCAGGCTTCCCTAACCACTATACCATCTGAGCGGTTCTGTTACTTAAGTATAAAATCTTGTCAAACGGGAAACACCAAGCAGTACAATTACACGCCAGTTGCGGATAAACGTTATGTCACAAAACACAACATTTGCGCTTTCTTTGGATGTAAACTCAAATGATTTTTGATAAGCCATCTTTTTTTTATGAGCAAAGATATTTATTATCCGTTATTATCCGTTATTTATTATCCGATTTGTATTTTTTTCTTGTATTTTGAAAAACCTGAATTTCAGGGCTGCAAGAACTGCATGTATTTAAGTGAGTTCAACACCTCAGATTATAGTATTGTTGAGTTTTTACTTCCTTGTACGAAGTAAAAAGGAAGTATTGTAATGGCGAAAAGTTTCAGGCAGCATATTTCAACGAAAATATCCATTTTGACCGCTATCGAATGCAATTTAACGATGTTTTTGCTTGATATCTGTACGTAAGGACAGAATAAAATACTCTTTTCCGCTTCAAAAAAAATATAAAACTCCTTTAAAATTAATTCTGAAGAGAATTTTTCGTGGCGTCTGTACGAACGTACGTACGTACGTGCGTGCGTATGTACGTATCTCGCATAACTCAAAAACGAGTAGCCTCAGAACGTTGAAATTAGCGCCAGAGCGTTGCTATGGTAAACAAATACTAAAGTGAAATTTAAAGAATGCATTTATTCTATTGTGGTTTATGCGCTGTCGGCGAAGTAGACTTAATTCAATCCAATAAGTTTAAATGAAATGCAAGAAAAATGCGTATAATTTAATATTCCGTACAAGGAAGTCATGTGGTGTACACATCAGAATTTTTTCTTTTCTTCTGACACTAGTTCTAGTTGTCAGAAGTTAGTGACTAGCTGTGACGTTATTGTTTTCCTTCACGTTCGTACGGGGTTCGCGTGGATTTGGAGTGAATAACGCTGACACTACTTGATGAAGTATCGAAACTTACTTTATTTAGCCAATATTAATCAGGACATCTCCAAAGTCACTTTTTACAGTCTTCGTAGCTCTACTATAAACACGCTGGAACGATCAGCGACACAGCCTTCACACTGTCAGGCAATAACGATGAAGACAGTTCACTGCGAAGCACCAGACTACAGCTCCCGACTCTGAATGGTCGTTCTCGGAACTCCACGTACTCTCGAGACTCTCCACGCTACAACTCGCGATGCACTCGACGACACACGAGCACAGTTCCCGACTCTTCGATACAGTCGTTCCTGGATCTCAACACGCTCTCTCGACGATGCACTAAGCGCGATACACTAACAGACTCCCTCAGTGCACTCGACGACCCACTCGGCATTCGCTGCCTGGCTGTCAACTCGATCGACTCGCGAGACGAGACACACTCTCAATACTACTGACTGACTGCGGACTAGCAGGGTTTTTATAGCTTTCGGCTTGTGTTCGAGAACATTCTGGGCTAAACCGGTAAGAATTCGTTCCAGAAGGTTCTCCATCAGTCCATGGTATATCGCTAATTTTGTCGCCAAATGTGGCAACCCTGCCTTCCCTTGCCATTTTATGGCAACCCTAAAACTGCTTTGCGGGGAAGCCATCTTACCGCGCCGATACATTTCGTAACAACGCCCCCTCCCAAGTGCTGCACGTCCCGGGCAGTACAACTCTTGGTCAGAAGCATAATTTAATACAAACAAAAGGTTCTAAAACAAGCAAATAACATAATAAACGAACATTTACATAACATACACACAGAACACTACACAAAACTTTACACAGAAACTAGGTAAGAAAACTCACGCGCAAGAATTATGGGTGCCCCTAAAAATGAGAAGCAAATATTTACACTATAT